TCATTTGGGCCACCAGTAAGGGTATCCCTGCTGTCACTTTGTCATTACTCTCAGCATTTCCACCTCCTGTGCTCTTGCCAGTGCAAACTGCTGTCAACATCAAGAATGTCCTTCTTTATACAAGTCACTGATTATGAGGTATTGCAGCAATAAACAAGGGTTGCTACATGGCACCAAGTCTGTGGTAAAAAAAAACCCAAACGCAACATTCTTACGAAAAATCATCCCATCAAATTAACAAAAGCAGCTCACATACAAAAAAAGGAGAAGAAGAAACCACATAAATAATTTCAAAATGGCATGGCAATGGAAAGATAGGAAGGACTTTTCCCACAACTTCAAAAGCCCTGTAGGAAATCAGAGAAGACCTGCCTGGCCCATGTGTGGGGACACTGAGGTCCCTGATAGATCTGAAGAATGAGAATGGGACAGTGGGGACAGACTGAAGGGCACTGTCTGGCCACACTGGGGCTGTCACAGACTGCTGGACCGGGGCAGGAGGCAAACCCTGCCAGACAGGCCAGGATGGCATTGGCAGAGGTGATGGGAGCGGGCACGCAATCTCCATGGAAAACAAAACTGAGTCACTGGCCTGGCCTGAAGGATAATTTTAGTGCAGAGGCTGAAACCCAACCCTCTCCTTCAGCGTGACATGGGCCATGACGTAGAGCTGGCAACTCAGCTGCTGCTGTTTCAGGAACGTCAAAGCTGTTTATCAGCTCTGGGCAAGCCTGGGAAAAACCTTGGCGGGGAGCAGGGTGAGCCCAGCAGGTTTTCCTTTCATTTCCTCTCCTTCCCTTTTGCTCATGAGCCCCTTCGCCTGGCGTCATGGAAGGCTGAGCTGAGCCAAATTAATGGTGACAGCCGGGTGCTGAGGGCCTGAGCAACACCCCCGTGCACGGAGTGAGCGCGCAGGGCACAAAGGTGAGCCCAGCCGGGTAACACACACACGTAATTTTATTCCACATTGTAAGGCAGGGGCTGGGAACCCTCCATGACATTTGTGCTACTGCCCCACTGCCTCCAGGCCTCTGAGGGCCCCAGTAGTGGAGGCAGTGATGTTGGCCCAGAGCTATCACAATCAGAAAGGCAAGAGCAGGCAGAAAGCAGAATTACTGTTCCCACCTTGCAGAGTGGGAAAGAAAGGAGTCTGAAGTAGATTCCTATGGATGTAGTGGTGAGAAGATTAATTCTTCAGTCTTCAAAGACAGCAGGCAGCTCTCTTTTAAAGGCACACACATTCTTGTAGATAGACATGCAGGTCATCAGTCATGCATTCACACTTGCAATGGGAGCTATTTGTCTTTATTTCAAACAAAATATCATTCTGCAGCTATGTGCATCATCACTTTATTCAGGATGCAGTTTCAGGCTCTGTGCTGAAATAGCCATACCCAAACCACACAGGTCTTTACCCTGGAGCATGGTGAATCAAAGCAGTGTTTGGAAATTTCCACTACCATCTTCAGAGCAGCATCTTGTCCTACATTTCTGACAGTTTTCCAGGACTACTAATTGGATCAGAAGTTTTTTCTCTCTCTCCTTATAAAGCAGTAAGTGCTCAGGATTGTTTAAAAAGTTTTCCATGCTTGCTCCATTTGTTTCTATGCCCAAGTGCAGATGTGATAACTAAATCTTAAGTGTCTGAGTCCATGCCATACATGCAGACTCCTGGAAAGACTGTGATCTCCAGATCTTTATAGTCAGGGACCTCTGTCTATTTGCATTGGGTTGAAAGCTTTTGAAAGCTTTATTCCTTATAGTTAGGGAGTAAGCTACTGATGATCCTGTGACGTGCCTTTCTGTCATGTGGGAACATCCTGCAGTTTGCCTCCAGCATCAGTTTGTGGCCAAGGATGCAGAAGATGCAGAATGTGATACAACAGACAGATACAACAACCTCTCATCTACTGGTATTTTGTGACAGCAGCAATTGCACATGAGCCAACTCTGGTCTCTCTGTTGGACACCCTCATGTAGTTCAGTGTATGTTGCTCACATATGGCTGGCATTGCCCTTGCCCCTGAGATAGAACTGCTGGCAAAATAAATAGGCCAAGTCCAGCTCAGATCCATCAGGTATGTAGATGCTCAATTCCTACTGAAATAAATGCAAGTGAAGGTTGCAAACACTGTTTGGAAGTGGACTTCACTGATGTTAGGAAGTAAAGGGTGGTGGGCAAAGAGGAGTGAGTTTGCAAGGAGTAACTGTAAGTACTAAAACGTAATTAACTTCAAAGTGAGAAATACATTGATTTTGTTAATGTCCCAAAATAAGAATGTCATACTGTTTAGAGATTTCTTGACTAAAATTGACTTTGACAATGGATCATTGTATTTCTTCCTATGTTCTTCATGAAAGTTGGCATTCCCTGGTAAATGGCAGCACTTCCATGGCATGCAGCATGGCTTGAGGCAGCAAAATCTGTCCCTAATACTAGAGTTAAGCAAACTGTTAAAATAGGAACTGAACCAAATGCTCAGATCTCCTCCTCAAAGTCAAACTAAATCTTTCTTTGAGGTTCAGGAATGTTTGGTTAACTTTAAATTAAGCAATGTTGTGCTTCTACACATCCTGCTTTCAGAGAAGACACCAAGCAGAAACACAAAAATATGGCAGGCACATCCATGTTTGCACTATTTCTGGCCCAGCTGAAACCAGGAAACACTGGAAATCTCACAAAATCAGCTTTGCCTCACACACTATCCAGCTACCAGGTTCTGTTGCTGTAAGCCCAGAGAATACAATAGAACTCATGTACATACCATTTTATTATTAATTTTTCACCAAATTACTGTGATAAACAAGTTTCCCAAACTATTAGATATATGAACCCCCCATTTTTATTCAATTGTGGCAGCATACTATACAGCTACCTTATATTCCTTTTATGCTCCTTCTCATTGAGTCACTGGCATAGTTGTTTGAAGACAAGATGTCTCTTGTGGTACATGACAAGAAACCAAAGCACATCATAACAAAGATAACAAACTAGGCATATGCATGTTGTGCTTCATATTTGGTTTTGTGGCTAATTCAAAATACGCAATCCTAAATTTTGCTGCTTGATATCTCTTTGACAACTCTCTGCGTTGGATTTGTAGAGCATAAATATGAAGACAACAGCATTGTTTTAGAGGAACATATTTAGCCATACAAAATTGCCCTGCAAGTCAGGGCAAAAATTTTAAAGCACTTTTGTGTAGCAGACTTTTGCAAATTTGCAAATTCATATTTAAAGGAACACTTAATGCTACTGCTAGAAATTGCATCACTGTCAGCAAAACATAATACAGACACCCTGATTACCCAGCTATCTGCTCGACCGCAACAAAGCCATCCCAAACGATTCAGTACCACAGCTTCATGCTTGCTAGCCAGATTTATTATATTTTCCAGATTCTAACAGGACACATATTAAGAAATGCATGCTAATCATTGTCCTAATGAGAACAATATGCAGTTAGCATTTAGAGTGTCATACAAAAAATACAGAAGGCGAGTGCAGAATGAATGCACTCTAAATTCAAGGAAACCCAATCCTTCTCTCCACTAGCGTGTTTCAGTGAAATGGCCCGCTCCAAGAGAAATTTTTAATGAACTAGCTAAATTTTAACCGGTATATATATGTGCTTTCATTAGGCATGGGGCAAAGTAAAATGCCATTCTGACCACAACTGTGAAAGAAAAACAACCACTGTCCCACTTGCTTACGTACAAAAAGCTATGAGTATATAAAGCACTAAAAGCCTGCCCAACATCACTCCTCTGGAGACACCAAACTTCCCAGTGTTTACATCCGTTTACAGCCAGATGACTTCTGGAGCAAACTACCCAATATGTGTAAGAGGACAAGAGTCTGTCTTTAAATTTTTTTGCAAGTAGTAAATAAAACGCACACCTTACAGAATAAAACAATATCATTTGGTAAATGTGCCAAACCTATCATGCTTCTGAGAGTATCAAAGGTGCATGAGGGTTTGGTTTGAATTTTCTAATGCAAAATCTGTGCACACCCTGCACTTTTTTGGTTATGTGGAAATAATAAGATTGAGATGCTGATGAAACACTCAATAAAACAGGCATCAATGGATCTGCTCGGATTGTAGTGCCTCGCTGCCACACCGCAAGAGGACATCTGAAATCTGTGCCTCCCATTCCTCCTCCCACCTCTCCACACAGGTCACAGGCTCTGTCTTTCTCTCCATCCCAACTACCAGGCACTGTGTGAATGCTAATTCAGCCTTCACTAACTAGGCACAAAGAACAGCTTTTCTTTTTTCAAACCTCCCTGGAATTATGAAGGTGTTTCCACACCCTGAGTGAAGACTGTTGAAAGTAGCTACAAAACATTAAAGCCGTTTAGAGTGCAGAACCGTTTAATCCCTTTCCATAGGTTAAAACTAGTGTTGCCTTGAAAAGTGAGTGCTGAAGTAAAATTTGACTGAAAATTGTCTCACCACACCCTACTGGAAGCCTTCTCCACAAGGGAGATGCACAAAAAACACTGGCTTACTTCTTTTTGAAGGTGTACCTCTCCCTCCTTCCCTTCCATTCACACCATGCTCCCAAGAAACAGAAAAGTATTTTTTGCATGTCAGCAAATGAATAAAGGTACTCCAGTTTCTTTTCAGAAAGAACAAAACTTAGCTCAAAAATTGACTACCAGCTTCCTGAGGAGCAGAAAATACCCCAAAAAACAACCAAAACAGAACACAAAGCAAAATAAAACCAAAAGAACAAATTTACACAATTTTGATGCGTATAATTTAAAATTATATTTTTCACTTAGGGATGAGGTTTTACACAGGTGATCTTTCCCTTCAAGTCTCTAGAAGTAACAAGAAGAATGACAGCAAAATTTAGCTTTTTCTTCTAGACAGTACCATTTCTGCTGTCTGCCTATGCTTTGTCTTCTTGAAAAAATAAATAATGAAATCTTTGCAAAAGGAAAATCAACATTAAATAAATATTTATTATAACATTAAATAAAGATAATATCTAGAAATATTATCTTAATGGTAACTATATAATACTGCAAGTGCATCACTGAGCAGATTAATGTGATTGAAAGATATCTTTTGTTTTATATATTTTACTCAGCTTTTTGCTTATGTTCTCTCTCAAGCGAAAACTTACAAATTCCACAGAGAGCAGTTAGGTTGAAAAATCAGCTTAGATGTCAACAACTGACTACCAATAGCCATCCTCTTGGCTAACACGTGTTTGCCCAGGGCAGCCAGTGTCCATACTCAGCACTCCTCTCTCATCCTCGTCAGCTGGGCTGTCTGGCAGGTGCTGGGTGGGGTGAACACGGAGGGGTCTGCGATGCCCGGGTGGATGTCGAAGAAGCGAGTGGAGGTTGTCACGCTGTAGTTCTTGGTGTAGGTTTCCTGTACTGGGTAACAGTCCTTGACGGTGTAAACGCCGACCCAGGATTCCACTGCAAACAACCAGAAATGTGACTGCTTTAGGTGACAAGACAAGATGAATGGGTCATGATGATGTCCATCTCTTTTAACTCATTGCTTCTGTTTAACATTATGTATTCAGATTCCCATTATAATTTAATTTTTTTTTTAATTCCTATTATTTTCAAACACTTCTAGCGGTTCATTATCTCGAGACTACGCTCAATGCTGATCTCTTCCAGAATGTGATGCAACAAATCTGTGTACCTTTTTTAACTTCAGTTTAAATCCACAGTGTGCTAAGCTCAGAGGTGTTCCCTTGCTCTATTTCCCTTCTGTTCTCCGTCATCAGCTCTACCTTGTCCACTATGCTGTTTAGGCAGTGGCAGTAATACTACTCAAGTGGTGTCCTTTGAATGCCCTTTGCTTTTATCTCTCTTTTATTATTTATCTCCCTTTTTATTATTTTATTTCTGTGATCATTCATTACCCCTTCAATCATAGTCCATCCCATTGTTTTACACATCTTGGATTTCTTGATAGCAGAAACTCACAATGTTAAAATTACCTACTGATCATAAATCAGTTCCTCTGAGGAATGTCTGTAACAAATTTTTCTAGTCCCAAGAACACTTATTTTCTCCCACATAGTAGCAATCATACACACTTATTTCCAGTACTTTCAGTTTTGTGTCATAGGCTGTAGCACAACCACATTACCAGAAATAAATAAATGGTGACATGAAACACACTTATACTGTATTCAAAGAAAGGATGCCAAGCTAAGCAATATTTGAATATACCTCTTTTGAGGATGCTGATATACCAAAAACATTCTGACCTTAATTAATATGGTTTTGAGTACACAGAAATGGAGGCAACCTTTTACTAAACAAGCTTTCTCTCAGAATTTAGAATAAAAAATCATGGTTAAATATGATGCTACCAAAGTAGCCTGTATCTCCCCTAAAACTTTTTTAATTGCAAAAGAAATATAATTTTTACAATTCAAACCAATACTAGCTGAAAGGTAGATAAGTAACTTTCAGACATTATGCTTATGAATCAAACAGCACTGGAGATACAAAATAATACTGGATAAAAATCACACATCATTAATTGAATGTATCTGGATATAGAATTCCACAAAAATTCCACAAAAATTCAAAATATCAGATCTGAAAAAAAGAGGTTATTGGAGTGAGTGATAATTTGCCTCTTGCAGAATACCAGAGGATCTATCAACCTAGTTACAGAGGTCTAATGATCTTATCCTTCATTCTCTACTTCATTTGTTCTACTTTTAGTCAAGAAAGAAATATTTTCCTCCAGCTAAATGCTCAAGTTCGTAACCAGCCTATATATTAGATGTCCATAACCATAAGTATTGCACTAGCTGAATACTGTCATAAATTTCATGGAGGTTTTAAAATTATTTTTATAGTTGTCTGGGTCATCAATAAGCCATAGAAGAAATTGAAGCCAAAGTGCTAATAAATTTCTGTGCTTTCAAAATCTAGCATACTATACCTTGGAAAATTCAGCCTCCTTTCTTTTATGATGCAAGTGCTCAGCTGCCAAATGCAGAACTAAGCCTTGCAAGAAGATATTTCTTACCAGTACAGAGGACAACAAAATTTAGTCATTTATGAAGGATTTCAACGGCTGCAGAACCATGTGTAGGCAAACACTGACACCTCCTCTATTTCTGTGACATAGGCTCTAGTTTGAGTGAGTCCCTAATTATAGTACCAATTATTCTCTAGGTAAATTTTGGATATGGGCTGCCAGATTCAGACACAAAATAATGCTGTTCCATGCCAAACATTTGTATGGCATTTTATCTGTATGATAATAAATATAACACAATCAAGTCCTCTGAACATATTTAATCCTGCTGAAATATGAAATTTTCCTAAAAAACACATTGTTATTAAAATGATATTCTGTGCACAGGGCATTTTCATTACTTCTTCCAGAGAACTCCATGGAAATACGGAAACCTGGGATGAAGCATGAATAATTTTATTTTCCCCTGTGCAGCAGAGACATTGATGATTATTAAAATAAAACAAAAGCATGCACATACACTTCCTGGCTGGTTTTCTGTCAGACCATTCCTGTACCATAACTTCATCTCCAGGTCCCCCAATGTAGTATTGATCTTCATAAGTTGAATTGGCAGGAATATCATATGGATCCCAGGGCTCTGTCAGAGCAATCTTCGAGCAAAGCTTTGTAACTTGTTCAATCTGAAACATCACTGCATCTTTGTAGAGCAATATATACTCAAAGAACCTGAAACATTAAGAAAAAGCAATTAATAAATACATATAGTCTTTTTCTATCCCAAGCAAGGAACATTGCCGATATGTAAGCTTGCCTTTGACTTCTCAGCATAAGAACATTTCCACTTGCATTTAACCTTGCCAAACTTTGAGAAATGCTAACCAGTTGGGCTGAAATTTCCCATGCTAAAAGTTTGTCTCAGCTGATTCTTTCCAAAATAAATAAATCAGGCTGAACTGGTTCAGCCATTTCTGAGAACAACAGAACAACTTTTCTGAGAACAACTGAGAGAAAAACATGTTATTATTCCTAGTTTTGTTTTGGTTTTTTTTTTTTTTTTAATAACTGTTTCATTAAAAAGCTCCAGTGCCTCCATGTTTTGGAGAAAGGACTTAAAACTTTGGCAGGGGAAAAGTTTTTATTAAAAGTTGCCCAGATTTGGCTAAGTTATAAGCCTTTGAAAAAAATCTGCTTGCATAGGCTGGATAGATTCACTTCTGCACGAATATGGTAGAGCCTTCCTGTGTACTGGTTAGATGTAGTATCTGCCATCCTCACAGATGTTTCTCCATGGAACACACAGTTTAAGTGGGACATGGGGGTGGAAGGGGGAAGTGCATGGTCCCGAGTGCAGAACTGAGAGGGTCACCCTCCATAAGGCACAGTTTCTCCCACGACGTAGTGAAAAGAAAAAGCAGAGGAGCAAAATAGCAAGGCAGAGATAGGGAGAGGTGTGAAGCTCAATGAGCTTGAGAGGCGAGAAGGTGAAGTCACCAGTATGGATAGTTAATAAGGATTTAAAACCAATCTTCTAATGAGTATGAAGTGACCAAGCCAAGCTCTGAGGAGAGATGATAAACATTTATACAGACACTTTCATCTAGTTTCTTTTTACAGTGGTCTTGTCTACCACCAGTACTGTGACATTGCTTCCATACCCTCAAAAAGGAGGTGGTATGGTCCTTACCTTTTAACTGTGCACAAAGCCAGACAGAAACAGAATATCAAAATTATCAGAAGTATCAGCTGATCTTGAACACTCAGCTGGAAATAGCAGAAATTTAACTTCTCCAGGGTACTTTGCACTACCAATCAGATGAGAAGTTGTTCAAAGCATGTTTCAAATCATCGTCATGCGCGCTCTGCATCTTTTGCAAAGGACTTAATGGGGTCACTTTCTAAACCCTCCAATACTCTGCATTCATTATCAGAGACTTCCCTTGAATATCTCAGCTCAAATACTTGGCTACAGGTTACTGTTATGCAGTGACTCTAGAGAAAAGGAAGGGAACAGCTTCATCTTTCCATCTGTAATTCCTTTTTTCATTCATGATGCTGCCTCCATTTCCTGCAAAAAAAGAAGGCTTAGGTGTCTTTGGACACAGGTATCTTCTGCTTCAAAAATCTGATTCTAGTCCCTAACACTGCTCATCCTGTGCCATCAGAAAGATGGGGAGCCAGTAGAAAACACTGCATAATTAATGCAATTGAAGAGATGCACAAAAGCAAGACCAGATCCTTCTCTATTTCCCAACTCCTGCATGTTTCTCTTTGCAGTCTTCACATTCTTTTGGGGAGGATGCAAAGTTTACATAAAATAGGGTCAAAACCAAAACAATTTACAATTTTAATTTTTGCAATGCACAATTGTACCAGACAGCAATAACTTCACCCACCACTGACACTGTGGCATTTAAAGGTTGCATAATAAGAAGCGTCTCAGCATGGTTAAAAGCATCTGAGTAACATTCCCACCACTTCTTGAGAGCATCATTTATTCTGCATGCATGGAAACACAGTAAGGCTAAATGGCCTTAGCCAAATTGAACAGTGAAGGAGAATATAAAATGGGACACGGAAGCTGATATGATGTAAATTGGGGCCCACGTCTCACCCAAAACCCTGCAAAACATGGAAGGTAGCTTGTCCTGAAACTGGGAACCTCCCCCACACTGAAAGAAGCTGACAAACTGCAAGGCTACATATGACCTTCCCCATGGTAAATCATTCTCCTGCCCATACCTTAAAATATTCCTGCTTTTGCCATGACTTTCACCAACCTAAACTTGCCTGCCATTTTCTTACTCAAAGGCAAGGTTTGCACAGTCATGATGTGCTAATGAAGAATTCAGTATCTTTTTAAACTCTTTTCTTACATAAACCCAACCTGAGATCAGATATGGACATACAAAACTTTTAGATCACATTTGGTCCAGAGAACATACAAGAACACTAAAATACATTTATTCATGTGTTTTCAATGAGAGTCTACTGACCCAACTACTCTTCAGCTGGCTGCCCAGCAGCTCCCATAAAAGTGGGAGGGGAAATGCCTTACAGAGGAATCTATCACCATGTTTGAGGCATCTGAGTGATAAAACAGTGATTTTGTAAAAGAACACAAAACCCCAATGTATTAGAAAAGCATTAAAAACTAATAGGAATAAAAATAAAACTGTTACATTTTTATTTTAAATCCTCACTTAAAACTTAATTCACACAGAAATTTTACTTGCATATTTAACAATCCTGCAGACACCAAAAGGGGCATTGTGAAACACTGTGAAAATAAAAATAAGGAAAATCCAAACAAATCAAACTCAGCACTAATAATCTCTCTGACAGCCATTCTGGAGAGTAAGAGGCTCCACCACTGAGATTTTTGGTTCTGGGAGAGGTGGACTGAACATATGTGTAGGTCATACCAGCCCTACACATTGATCTGCTGCTGGGATGAACTCTGCCTCTGTGGGGGCAGGCACATGAGAGGAGATCTGCAGAAAACCTCGTTCTGCTCACTGTGCATGACAGCCCTGGGTAAGCAGGGGCAAGATTTACACTGTCCTTGTTATGTGCCTCACATCCCAGCTTTATAGAGAATTGCTCTGTGTCCTGGAAATAGCCAGCACAGAAACCTAAGATTACACAGGATCTGAGTTTAACAGCATATGAGAAGTGAATGGTTAAGTTGTTGTTTTATAAAGAGAAGTACTTACCAGCCAAAATTAATAGCAAAATGTACATGAATATAAAAATTATAATTAAAAAAATTAAAATAAGAAATATTTTTCTCTTCTTGTTTTTAACCAGCCAAGTCCTTAGTGTACTGCCTCTATTTGTTTTAGGTGCCTGATATTTTATTGGCTTCTTGAGGGGAAGCACAGAGTCCTGAAAATAGGTCTTGGCAAAGAAACAGGAGAGGAAATTATTTTTAATTAGTTTGTTTTTTCAGAAAAATGTAATGTATTTGCAGCCTGCACTCACTTCTAATATTATTTTTATAATAATTTAATTAAATTGTAATTTCAAGAAAGCCCCAACCTAAAAGGAAGTGCCCCAACTAGGCCTCAAATAGGCACCTTGAAACAGATTTGAAGAAGTCACTCGGACAATTATCCTACTTGCCTGACTGAGATTGTTTCTCTTCCTTTCCTATCCTTTTCCACCCTACCCTGCCCTATGCCTCACCCCATTGTACACTATGGGACTCTCTCATGATCCTTAATACTCCCTTTGTCTCTGTCTGAAAATGGATGAATTCCAGCATATAAAGACACACATGTTTTTGCTTCCATGCTTTAAAGAATTTCTTAACTCTGGACCATATCCTGCACAAATAATTCCATTGATTTTGCTGGAAGCAATCACGTCAGATAGGTGGGATACAGGCTGGGTTCAGTACTTCTCCCAAGCTAAGGAAAGCATTCTTCTGAATAAGAGACTAAGTGAGTTAAATACAAAGCCAGAAACCCACAATCACACAATCACAAGGTGTTAAGAATGCACTGTAAGGGGTGGCTGTGCATCCACATACTGTCCCAGCTCTGAGACTCCTCATGAAATCTGCGGAGATAGGCAGAGGTCTCTCTCAGGACATAGCCCAAGTAACATAAAGACACACTCCTGGACCCTCACAAAGACCTGAACTAATAAACTTGTCTTCTGAATAGGTGATTTTTTGCATGTTAATAATGTAATTCATAACAGTGAACTATTTTTCAACATTTCTCAGAAAAAAAAAGTCATTAATGTTAAGATCATGCTACCAGTTCCTTTTCAGGTCCTCAGTCTGCATCCTATGCTGGGTCCTTCCCAGCCCTGAAGCCTGCTAGCCTGCCCATCACCTAACACATTTGCCTGACTCCCAGGGTTTACTTCTGCACTTCCAAGGGCTTCCCTGTGAGAGCCAAACCAAGAAGAAAGGAGCTGCTTGCTGTCCAACTGCCTTTGCAGTGACTCAGAGGAGCAGAGGTGCTGTTAGTGGCCTGGCCAGACCCACGTGATTTATTCAAGAATATCAGACAAGGTCATTTGCTAGAGAGAAGCAAAATAATGGTCTCTGAGATTGAGACTGGGTAATAAAAACTCTTTCTGTGCTAAATCTGCCTCTGCATAATTTGGCTCTGTGGCTTTGGACAATCAACTTACAGTACCAGAGCCTTAAAATGCTGTTTATTATTCTCCTTTGATTGCTGTAGTACTGGAGAGACACAAATCTGTGATCACAAACCAGTTGTGTGAGGCATTGTGTTAACAAAGAACCAAACCACTAATCCTGCCCCCAAAACCGCTGAAAAAATGGTAAAACAGACCTTACTGAAAAGGTGTACTGGGGTTTCATGAACCTAGGGCTTTAACCTGTTGATTCAGATTTCCCATCTGTAGCTATTGTAACCTTAAAACTCTCATTCATGTAAGCCAGGACTTATATTACCTAGTAGTATAAAGCTACTGAAAAATGGAAGCAAAATTCTATGCATTATTTGTATCTGAGATTCTGTATTACTCAGCAAGAAACAGTATTTGCTATTTGGTATCTCAAACTGAGGTCACTGCAATTATTTGCAAATTAACTTTACTTTGGTGATTAAATGAACACTTGAAGCATCTGTCTGCCTTTGTGGTACTACTTAATTCTTTGTCAGTTCTCTTTGTAAAAAGACACTTTTAAACATTTCAAAAGGAGCTAACCCCACATCTGACTAGAAGAAATTGCCCTACAGATATCC